CTTTAAATCGGACAGTTTTCTCAGATTATTCTGGAGTGAGTCAGGATGGGAGAACCAGGGTGGAACGGGCTGTTGGCGCTTATGTGCGTCTCTTTGGTAAGCCTGGCTGCTATCACGCAGGGAAAAACGGTGAAATATCAGACATTTGAAGAAGACGCACCGGGGACAGTGATTGGAAACTTGGCCAAGGACATTTCCTCCACAGCCTTCTCCTCGGGGGGCCCCAGGACCAATTTCAGGATGATGAAACAGTTCAACTCCTCTTTCATCCGTCTGAGGGAGAGCGACGGGCAGCTGAGCATCGGGGAGAGGATAGACAGGGAGCGGATCTGCAAACACATCCTGCACTGCCTCATCGCTTTCGACGTGGTCAGCTTCTCCAAGGAGCAATTCAAACTCGTACACGTAGAGGTGGAGGTCAAGGACATCAACGACAACTCCCCCAAGTTCCCCCGGAAAGAGTCGAGTCTGGAGATCTCCGAGAACACAGCGGTTGGCACGCGGATCCCGCTGGACTTTGCGGTGGATGAGGATGTGGGCGCGAACTACATCCAAAGCTACCAGATCTCAGTTAACAGCCACTTTTCAATCGACGTGCTCAGCAGGGCCGACGGGGTTAAATATGCGGAGCTGGTGCTTATGAAGGAGCTGGACCGGGAGACGCAGGCTTCTTACGCGCTGGAGCTGGTCGCTATGGACGGAGGCAACCCGTCCCGCACCGGAACAACGCGCATCAACGTCAAGGTGAAAGATTACAACGACAACAGCCCGGTGTTCGACCGGGCCAGCTTCTCCGTGGATCTGACCGAGGACGCACCAGTTGGCTTCCTCCTGCTGGACCTGAACGCGGAGGACCCGGACGAGGGGCTGAACGGAGAGGTGGTGTATGGGTTCGGTCACCAGGTGCCTGCAGATATAAGGCAACTCTTCAGAGTGGACCGGAAGACCGGACGGCTCACCCTGGAGAGTCAGATTGACTTTGAAAGTAAAACCACGTACGAGTTTGACGTCCAGGCAACCGATCTGGGTCCGAACCCGAGCCCTGCCATCTGCAAAATCGTAGTGCAGGTGCAGGACGTGAACGACAACGCACCGGAGATCTCCATCACCCCTATGACGTCCATCACGGCAGGGATCGCGTACATCACCGAGACTGCGGCCAGAGAGAGTTTCGTGGCTCTGGTCAGCACCTCGGACAGAGACTCGGGCGCTAACGGGCAGGTGCACTGCACGCTGTACGGACACGATCACTTCAGACTCCAGCAGGCGTACGAGGACAGCTTCATGATCGTGAGCACGATGCCCTTAGACCGGGAGAAAATCCCCGAATATAACCTCACAGTAGTGGCGGAGGACCTGGGCTCCCCGCCCTTCAGGACCATCACTCAGTATACCATCAGACTGACAGACGAGAACGACAACGCTCCGGTGTTCAGTAAACCTGTGTATGAGGTATCCGTGGTGGAGAACAACGCGCCCGGTGCATACATCACCACTGTGGTGGCGCGGGACATGGACCTGGGGTCAAACGGGAAGGTCAGCTACAAACTTGCGGACACATACTTTATGGGCTCCCCCATCTCCACCTTCGTGTCTCTGGACCCCGCCAGCGGCTCGCTTTACGCGCTACGCAGCTTCAACTATGAGGTGGTGAAACAGCTGGAGCTGCGCGTCACGGCCAGCGACGGCGGCTCCCCTCCTCTGACCGGCAGCTCCAACGTGTACGTAAGGGTAGTGGACCAGAACGATAACGCACCGGTGATCACCCAGCCACCTCTCAATAACGGCTCCGCGGAGGTCCTGCTGCCCCGGGACGCACCGACTGGCTACGTCATCACCCGAGTGGACGCGCGGGATGCAGATGAAGGTGTGAACGCAGAGCTGTCATACGGGCTGGCCACTGGCGAGCCCTCCGTGTTCTCCGTGAACAAACGCACCGGGGAGATCTACCTCAACCAGGTGCTCAGCCACGACGTGGACGAAACCCTGAGCGTGACCGTAACGGTGAGTGACAACGGGAGGCCCACGCTCACCTCCACCGCCACGCTCCACTTCCTCATCATCGCAGGCTCCCCGCCGAGCGACAGGACAGTGTACCAGGCCGACAGCGTGGACGATGTGCACGCGCAGTGGGACCTGTCCGTGGTGATTATCGTTGTCCTCGCGGGGAGCTGCACGCTCCTGCTGCTCGCCATCATCCTCATCGCCACCACCTGCAACCGGCGCAAACGCGACAAGAGCGGAGACGACAGCGACTCATACGGGGAGAAGGGCACGCTGGAGCGGGGCAGGAACCACGTGGCAGACAACCCGCTCTTGCCTCTGCACGGGGCCGGGGGAGAAGCTGGCTTTGAGGGTCACTCCTACAGCAGCCAGCCCGGGGGCTTCACCTCGGCTCACCCCGGGGGAATCGACATGTGCTCGGCCTCAGAGGACGGCAGCGAGGTGCCCTGTGTGTATGACTCAGACACCAACAGCAAGCCTCGAGGGAATAAACACGAGGTGAGAGGCAGCTTCAGGACATTGTTGGGGGACGGGGGGGGGGGACGACGACGACGACACACAACAATGAGTAATATGAAATGTGTTTATCAACCAGACGCTAACCTTTCTTCCTTTATTTCTCTCCTCCTGCAGGGATACTCTACTCTGCCTGGCTATGGGAACGGTAAAGAGGCAGTGAGGCCCATCACTATCTGGAAGGGGAACTCTTACACCACCATCTCTGCCAGGGACCCCGCCTTCAGTGGCAAAGACAGTGGCAAGGGGGACAGTGACTTCAATGACAGTGACAGTGATGTCAGTGGAGACACTGGACTGAAGAAAGATGGAGCAGTGGTTCCTCCCATGGGTGGCCAAAATGGTAAGAGCAAAAGAACAAACAATTAGATTTCAAATGAATAAATGTTGATTCATGCTTTGGTTCTAGTTCTAACTTATTTAGTTCTTCTCTTCTGCAGCTCTGTGGGCTTGCACCAGTGAATGTAAGGTCCTGGGTCACTCAGATCGCTGCTGGAGCCCCTCAGCAGTCAGAGCCCATGCAGCTCCATCTCCAGCCCCCACCCTCTCCTCCTTCAGCAGCCACTCCAAAACAGCCTCCCTGCCCCGGGACCCCAACCGCCGGGACAACTTCTACCCGGCCCAGATCCCCAAAACAGTGGGTCTGCAGAGCGTGTACGAGAAGGTGCTGCACAGGGAGTACGACTACGTTCTGGTCACCCCACCTGTGAGGGTGCAGGAGATCAGCGACATCAGCGACATCAGCGACATCACCATCCCCGTCTACACCCCCACCCCGACACACTGTCCCATCGAGGAGGTCTAACACAGACATTGCACAAGCCCACTCTAAAAGAAATGTATATTCAAAGTTTTAATTTATGATTCAATGACAATGAGAAATACTGAACCTTTTGGAGGTTCTTTGTTGCATATATAAGTTTATATCCTAATATTTGTGTGTTTCTTTTCATTTTAATTGTAAAAAGCCACATGTGATGGCCATTCAATCACTTTGAGACATTTTGATGGACATGAAGTGTATTATATGCAAGTTTTGTACATACAGAGGTTTTATTTTTTATAAAAGTAATAATTAAGGAAAGATATGTACATAGGAATTGTAATTATTGAACTTTAAGCACGCTGACTATTTAAAAATGGCCCCATAAACTGTGCAGTTGGAGGGCCGGTGGCGGTGACCCACAATGTATCAAGTTGATAATGTATGGATTTATTTGAATGCAATAATAAGTAATTGTACAGATTTCTTTTTTATTATCACAATATTCTGAGAGGAAATAAACTTTGAAATACTGTTCTGAAACATGTGAGTGACTTGAGTGTTTTTTCAGGAGCATGAGTCAGGCCAGTCACTACAGTAAAAACCAACAGGCGTCGCTGTTATTGCAGCATAGCGAGCCTCTGTCCTTGCAGCTCGAGGAAGGTCAGTTTAGCTTCCCTTTTTTTTTACGATTTTTCTGGGGAGATGCCAGAGCAGACGCCAAGGTTTTCTAGCAAATCACTCTCACTCCTCATGCATATCAAGAGAGACCACCTTCAGACTTATTCGTTCTCATTTTACTCACTCCCTGTTACATAAATCATTAATACTACCTGAAATGTGCGCATAGAAGAGGTGATAATGAGATTGCCTGTGCGTAAATGCGCATTTACTGTTCGTCTTCGATAACATTCACGAGAGGAAGTTAAATAGCTAACAACGATGATGATAAACATCCAAAACCAAACACAGGTGATTTTTTTGTCACGGAACAAGAAGTCCCTGTGAGCAAATCCTCCTGCTGTCCTGTCAGGATGTTTTTTTGTCCATCTGCCAAACGCGCACGCTTCGCCCTTTACGTCATCTCCCTATTACCATTAATGGGTTCAGGGCATTTCTCACGACAGAATCGCAGGTCTGGACTCTGATTTAAAAAAAAAAAAAAATCCATCAAGATCTAAATCTGTCCAACAATCTGCTGCTTTCATGCAAACACTGTCTCCAAACTGGAGAAAACATGCGACATTCCGCCAAAGTCACCTTTGACCTGCAGCCGTCTGTGAGGGCATTGTGAGGGCATTGAGAAAGGAAAAGGGGGGCTGCTAAGGTGATTTGAGGAGACAACCTCACCCTTCATCATCTTCTTTTTCTTAATTACCGAATAGATCTTATAGTCCACACACCGAGGTTGCCATAAAGCTTAATGATATGAAACTCCTGAGGATCTTCGCAGGAATCAAAGTCATGGAAATTGCATGAGCAGCTCTTCAAAGGGAAAACACGATGAGTGCTTTTATGGCAGAAAGGTAAAAACTTTTGGCTTTAATTAGTGGCTACTGTGAGCGACCAGCTGGAGTTTACTGTATGTTTCACGGTTTCACAACTTGGATGCGCAGTTTCAACAGTATGCAAAACACGGACTGTCCATCCTCCTCCTCCTGAGAGGGAGGGAGGGAGGGAGAGAGAGAGAATGTGGGGGGGGGAAGAAAAGTTAGTGGACTGAGGTTCACTTAGGTGTTTGGCTACAGTCATGGCCGGGAACTCAGAGAAAGTACCGATCGCCTCGGCGGGACCAGAGGATCTGCATAACTTCATGCCCCCGGTAAGTTTTCATACAGGACCAAGACCGGATTATCCCGGGATATGGAGTTCTGTAATAAAAAAGATGCCGAAGTACATGCAAAGCGATCATAGAGAGGCCACATCGTTCTGATATTGATCTTGCATATGCTGGACAGACGAGCAAAATCGATATTGATTGTGTTATATCAGAGCATGAGGTTGTTTTGACGTTTGACACGTGGTCATTTTCTCGGTGTTTGTTTAACGGTAGGCATACTCTGCCGTGGCCGTGAAGCCCGCCGCCACCGGCTGCCTGCTGAAGGCCGGGATCGCGGTGCTCATCGCCGGGGCTCTCCTACTGCTACTGGGGGCAGTCGGAGCTTTCTACTTCTGGAACAACAATGAAAAACACGTAAGACATATTTATGATATCAATGCTCACCGACACGGCAAATGAAGGGTTTTATTAGGGACTGTACACACATTATTTGAAGGGAGGTATGGGGTTGTCATTTTACTTTTTTTGGAGAGCTGGGTGGGTGTTTTGAGTTCATTGTCATTATGTATTTAGGTTTTGTCAACCTTTGTTTCCTAGATGGATCAAAGAGAAAACTTAAACTTGCTACATGGTTCATAAAAATGCACTTTGTAGTGTTATGTCTCTGAGTCAGGTCTTTATGCAGTGGGATACATTGGTGACACGTACGAAAAAGCTATTCTAAGAAATCATGAATAACCATGTCTTCTATCATTATTACAAAGGAAACTATAGGGTTATGCCTCGCTTGCCACATTTACTTCTGTACAATCCTTTACAATTTGTAGTATGATCTGCTAGATTATATTGTGTCCTATCAGTGGACTTTCAAAACGCGTTATCTAAAATGACTGCCACAGCTATAGAGGAAAACATATTCATACCCTATAAAAATGTCACTTGAATAAAAAGGAAAAATCCTTGAAACAAGCTTCTTTTGTGTCAATAAGTTCTCAGTGATTTTTAACTTGAAATTAAAAAGGAGACTCAAAAGAAAAACAGTTTTCCTATATGGATTTTTTTCTGCAGTGTAGGCAAACAGTAAAATGTAAATGAAACCCTCCTTGGTGAATGGAGGCGTTGTGTGTGTATGTGTGAAGGATCCTGGCAGGGTGGAGAGGTGGTGGTGGGGAGGAGGAGGGGGGGGGGGGGGGGCTCTTTGGTCCAGCTGATGCTCCGGGGGCAAGAGGTGGAAGAGATGAAAGTAAAAAAATGTACCGTTGCGAGCGTTTTTTCTTACCGTATGAAGTTAGAAAATGCTATTAAGACGTGATGAAACGGCTCTGTGGAAGGGTCATAATAATAACCCAGAGCTGCACAGATTGTATTCTTCTGACCAAGTTTAAATGAATGTGCGAGTCTAAAAGAAAAATCAAGAAAAGAGAGGCTGTATGTGTGAGGAAAAGTCAGAGGGGGAGGTTGAGTAGGAGTGTTGAAATAGAGGGGGGCTGGGGGTGGGGTGACTCAGGACTCTCATACCTTACATGCCAGTCTGAAACCCTGTGTGTGCTTGTGTGTGTAGGTCTACAATGTCCACTACAGCATGAGCATCAATGGGAAAGTGGAGGAGGGCACAATGGAGATCGACGCTGCCAACAACATGGAGAGATTCAGCACCGGCAGCGGGGCGGATGAGGCTGTGGAGGTCCATGACTTCCAGATTGTGAGTCAGGCACAACATAATCCTAAAATATCTGGAGGTGGAAACATTACAGCTGAATCATCAACACATTGATCTTCACTCTGAGCAATTTAGAAGCATCAGAGAAGAGGTGGATCAGATTTCTTGAACATTTTGAAGACCCTTGTGGGTAGATTGCAGCAAGTAAACATTATCCCCCCTTTAGGCCAATCAGTGTCAAAAGCATCGTCCCTCCATTTTTCATTAAACGCGGACTGGTGGTTTCTGACCTTTAATTATTGCACCCCAATCAGGCCAATCAGACTAGTGAAGCAGCACTTTTGGCCTTTTAATTATTACAATTTTGACCTTTAATCATGGTGTGATTTTTGTGAAATCTAGAACGTAATGCAGCAACGCTTCAAAGTGGTATCAAAATCAGCTGTGATATGTTCACATAGTCCCAGACACTTAGAGATGCATTAGGCTCTAACTTGCTGCTCTTTGTTTGTCTCCTGACCTCTACAGGGGATCACAGGGATCCGCTTCTCAGGAGGAGAGAAGTGCTACATCAAGACCCAGGTGAAGGCCCAGCTGCCTGATGTGGAGGCTCTCAACAAGGACTCCATGACATTTGACCTGGTGGGTTTCATGTAGGGCTGCACGATATTGGAAAAAACTGACATTGCGATATTTTCTTCCCCTGCGATATATATTGCGATATGAAAAAATACAGGAATTGAAGAAAATACAGTTTTTTTGTCCACAAACCATCCTTTCTTGAACTTTAATGCTATACAATTGGTATTTTTTTAACAATATTTAACCGAATGAAGGATTTTAGTCACAGACTTCTGGATCTTAAGTTATCAGAGCAACAAGCTGAGCTAGCTCGGTTATCCTGCTGTGATCTGATCAAGAATGGTTGTGATTGGTGGTTTGCTGTGCATGCAGAGCCTGCATGTCACTCACTCAAGTACCCCTGACATGAGAGCCACGCAAGTTTTCCTTTTGTAGCAAGCAGCAAAATAATTGTAACATGACGTGTTTGAGTTCATTTGCCTACTTAATATCGCACGTCCTAAAAAAGAATAATACATTTTTTTAATTTTTAAATCGCATGTCCTGCGATGTCAATATCGCGCATGCGCATAACGCTTTTTTTAATCAATAGCCAATTACCGCTTCACAAGCTTAAAAAATGTTACGGAGTTGCGACTAATTGCTTACTTATGTTTCCAAAACATTTTACGAACTAGGTCAGGCTTTCCTTTTGCTACCGAAGACTTTAGATTCAAGCACCCCTGAGAGAAAATGTCAGTCTAAATTTCAATGTGTCCAATACTCAACTATAAATCTCGTTGTATTCTGTACCAAAAAAAAAGCTTTTTTTTATTTTTATTTTTTATGACCGTAGACTTGAAAAGTAGAAACATTTAAAGCTTTTTTTTGCAGGCCAACAGGCTAACTCATGATGGAGAACATGGTAAACACTTCAGCTTATGAACATTAGCATGCTAGCATTGCTGCTGTGATAATGTTAGCATATTGCTGCAACGCATTTCGCTCAAATTATCACGAATAAACGAGACAAAATGCGTTACAGTTTCTGTTAAATGTTAGGGCTATTATTGTGAAAGGGTGAGACGAGCATTGTGTAAATGCGGCCTTTGTCAAGGTTAAAAGGATTCTGGAAACATTTTAATTGCCTTTTGTTTCTTAATATTTGAACTTGGTTTGAAAGTAGGCTATTCATTAATAAACAAAAATAAAACACTTCTCAGAAACAATAATAACAGCCGCAGATACATTCACCCTTTATTAACAAAAGCATTGAATCTGAAAATACAAATGTTAGTAGGTCAATATTAAAGGGCAATTTTTCACCTTCTCATTACAAGACACATAATGCGACTGGAGGATACACATCCATTCCACGCAACCCGGACATTATTCTTCAAAATTGCTTATTGCTAATCTATAATATACATCTATATTAATAAATCTAGAGAGCGTATTTATAAAACCAATATACTTAAAGCTATTTACCCTGCAAGGTCTTACACCTGATATAAAGCTATAGCGTATGCTTAGGTATTAGTATAACTCACCCAAGCCAACGATAAACCGGGAGCACATGGACGACTTTTATGAGGGTTCCCAGCACATAACAGCTTGGTGGGCTCCAAAAACAAAACAGAAGACTACACTGAATATGCCATACGTGTGTGTGTGTGTGTGTGTGTGTGTGTGTGTGGATTGTCACATCCCACCAACACCACCGCCTGTGATTGCTCAATTGAGGCTGTCTGATAATTAAAATCATTTAGCGCCGCATAAGCCGCACATCCACATAAATCCACATCACCAGAATTACCCTCGTGAATGCGCATGCACACACACACACACACACACACACACACACACACACACACACACACACACACACACACACACACACACACACACACACACACACACACACACACACACACACACACACACACACACACACACACACACACACACACACACACACACACACACACACACACACACACACACACACACAATTAATTATCACGCAGGGCTGCTCTTATTGCCTCTCTCTGCCTCATAACAGATCATTTATTTCACGTTTGTGCTTTTGTGTGTGTTTGTGTTATCGCCTCTCTTTGCCTCATAAATGATCGTTTGGCTCATATTCGTGTATGTGTGTGTGTGTGTGTGTGTCTGTGTGCGTGTGGAGACAGGGAGATGTTGCTGTAATGGTAGCTGCAGGCTGGTCATTTGCTATAATTTAGAGTGATGGCAAATATGGGTTAGATAAGCACACACACATGTACACACACATATGCGTCCCCATCCAGAGAGAGTGGGTCAGATATCTCTTATCAGTGGAGAAGGACCCCCGCTTCTATTTGTCCCTCCAGCAAACCATTTGAGTTGGGGGAGAAGAAAAAAAAACTGCATTTCTGAAAGGTTGGAGGATATCGTTCCCTTAAACATGGCTGTGGCTAGTGCGCTGCACCCCTCAGGAACAAACGCCTCGGGGCCAAATCATCCCCACAGAATCCCCCTTTTACCTGCAGGCTGTTGATACAGATTATATGTTTACACAGTCTCTCCTCTGGAAACCTCATTAGTTTATTTGCAGAAAACTGCAAATTTAGGCCATCCAATCTCTCTCCCCCCCTTCAGATCTTGATGAGTGCTGACATCCTGTATACAGCTAAATGTTATTGAAGAGGGAATCTGTGTACTGAAGCCTCAAGGGCTTTTTTTTATTACTACTTGTTTTTATGTCGTGATAAGGAGCATTAACAGCATGGCATTAATGCAGATTAGACTCGGACAGAATGCAAATACTGTGGGCTATTTAAAGGGGAAGGCTAGTAACAAGATCCGTAAAAAAGTGTGATTTTAAGCCTTCAGCAGGCGTCTTCAGACGCTTTGTTGTCATGTTTGTTTGAGTGTGTGCTAATTTTCTCCTCACCTTCTTCACTTCTTAAAGGAGGACGAGGTGATACCGGCCAAATTTGATGACGATCTGATCTTGGTGGCCGCTGGCGCCCCCATCTCAGACTCCGCCTTCCTGAGCAGCAAGATAAAGGACTTGTGTGGAGAGCTGCCGATCTTCTGGCTCCGACCCACCTACTCAACCAGTAAGCAACAAAACAGCTTGTGGCAAAGATATTAAAATGTAAATCCTAAGAAAAGTGAAACAAAGAGGATATGGGTCAAACGGTCTCTACATTTCCATTTAACATCGCAGTTGTAAAAGCCACAGAAAGGAAAACAAGCTTTAAAGAAAAAGTCCTTTTGAAGTTGCAGAGCTACGGAGTGTACAATTTTTAGCATGCTGGGGGGTCAAAAGTTCTCAAAACACAATTTTATTCTATTTCATCTGACGACTTCAAAATGCTGCCAGAGAGACGGCTGTGCAATCAGCCACATTAGTGCCACTCGGCTCCTAAATTTGGTTTGCTGTCAGAAACTGAGACTGTGATGTGTGCAGGCGGACAGAGGAAGAGGAGGGCAGCCCCCCGCCGCAAGGCAGTTGCAAAGGAAGAGGACGTGGAGGAAGAAATCAACCCGGAGAACCCCTATCAGGTGAGTCACACACACACTCCTCTACTGTTGCATTCACGTCCCGCTGTCCGTTCACATCTGAGGGCTACCTGAGAAGGCTTTTACCGAGGAGTTTCTCACAGCTGTGCGAGCGGCAGCAGATGCCGGGGTCACGGCGGAGGGGCCCGGCGTGTCACTGCAAATCTGAGTATTTGCGTGGGTGTGTTTTCAGAGCATGGGTTTCTCTATGTAAGGCTGTCCAAAGCTTTCCTTTCAGCATTGGGCTGTATGAATAATTCCCCATCACCCCCCCCCTATACTCCACTGCTCCACTGCAGCCCTTCGCCCTGCTGAGCACACACAGACTCCCCATACATGCACTACCCCCTTGCCCTTCCGTCCTTACCCCCTATGTTGGGCCCCATTTCCCCTAATCCCTCTCTAAGCATCCCCCATCCCCTGCTACACACTCCTGACAACCACAGAGGGAGGGAGGGTGGGGGGGGGGGGGGGGGGGGGGGGGGGGGGGGGTTGAATAACGAGTGCTACGTTGAAAAAGAAAATATTTGACAACAAAAACCAACATCTGACAACATCCCCTCCTCCCCATCCCCGCCTGTCGGAAATCCATTTTAATTGGTTTGAGAAGAGTCTTCCCCGGCGCTAAAGACGTCCAGTACATGGCAGAGTGCCACACACACACACACTGTGCGCTCTCTGACCGCTGTCTTCTCCCTCTCCTCTCAGAGCGGCCTGGAGGGCGAGCAGGGCTCCATGAACATCGACCCGATGCTGGACCACCAGGGCATCTGCTGCCACGAGTGCCGCCGCAGCTACACCCACTGCCAGAGGATCTGCGAGCCGCTGGGGGGGTACCACCCGTACCCGTACCACTACCGCGGCTGCAGGGTGGCATGTAGACTCATCATGCCCTGCAACTGGTGGGTGGCCCGCATTATGGGCCTGGTGTAAGCACCCCCGAAGACCTTGGGAGATGCTAGAGTCCAGGAGGGAAGATACCAGGGTGGGGCGGGGTTCAGCGGTGCCAGATGTACGATATTTATCGCCTTTGTACGATTTATGCCCTCTGTACAATGTATAATCAAATATACCAAAAGTGCCATAATGTACAATATTTTGACCGAGTCGTTGGTTTTCGTCTATGCTGTCTGTATTACGCATCTATTCACATGCTTGGTGTAAGCTAGGATATTTATAAACGCTAACAGGTCGTTTTCTCTACCAACCTCATTTGACGAGTTTGCTACATCATAGCTACATCATAGCTACATTAGCGTGCTTAAAGAACACACAAACAAATCATCTAAACACACGTTTGGTAAAATACAAAAAATACACATTAACGTATTTGTATTCGTCATTATGACTCATTTACAATGATTTTACGCCTCTGGTATGAACATTTTCGATATAGCAACGCAGATGGGATTTTAAGGGAAGGGGGGGATGATGGGATAAGTCTATGCAAGGGAGTTGGTGGCTTCTTCTTGTAATTTACTGTAGTTACCTGCCGGTCTGAGCAGAACTGAGTGGTGCCCACACATTAGAAATGCATGGAGCCGAATCTAGGACAGACATGTTCTCACATGTAGGAGTAAGCAGTGGCTGCATGCTGCACAGCTTGTCTTATTAAAAAAACATACCTGCTATGGATTTAGATCCAGCTCAGCTGCAGTGCAACATGCTGTCAGGAGAACAGAGGTTATGATACAAAACATCCAATGATTTGATGTAGAATGCCACCTATTCATCTAGACAAAAAGGCAGGTAAGCTTGTATTTATAGAGCTGGTAATCATTTATTTTATTTCATTCTTTAATGTAAATAAATGTATATGGTGCAACGTATTTCAATAGCAGTCAGCTGGCTTAAATAGCACCTATTGTTTGTTTCAATTTCACTCTAGTGAGAAATATTTTGTGTGTTCTCAAGCCATTTATTTGAAATCTTCATGAGTAGCTCATTAAAACAATGTACCGTACGGTCTCTCAAACTTTCATCTCAATGTTCTTTCATCTGCATTGAAGACGCTATCTCAAAGTGCAATATCGCTGAATAAACTTTTTGTAAGTAAACTTTTAAGTGTCACCCCTGTGTCCTTTGGTTATTGACCTCATATCCTGTTTGTTAATACACATAGCTAATAACCTATCATTGGGTATATTTGGGAACATCCCAGAATCTCTCTCAGTTTTGAGACGCGCCACATCTGGGTGCTGCTCCGAAGTGACGAGCAGAATGAAGTTTTCAGAGTTCTTTAATGTGAGAGTTGCAGCTCTAGAACTCTTTAATGAGACTAAAGACTCTGTAGCCGTCACGCTCCCAGATCTTACCCACGATGCAAAGCGCTTAGCTCCTTTTGATGTCGCAGAGCCGCCTCGGGCAGGGGTAGGGGGTAAGGATGGGGGCGGTGTGTTTTTGTGTGTGTGTCAGGGATCGTGGAGGAGTGTGTGTGTGTGTGTTGTGGAGCTCAAGAGTTCCATCTAGAGCCACAAACGGGCTTTTGATCGTCACGAGAGATGAAACGATGTGAGATGCATTTAACATTTAACTCGGCGCGAGAGGCTTGATGATGCGGTTAGGAGGCTGATCCATATTAATGCCCTCATGCCGCGGCAGGACGCCCCCTCACTGCTGCAGCTGGATATATGTGGTTGGAGAACGGGCAAAGGTGCCTGCTGTATATCACCACCCCCACCACTGAGCCTGCTGGCCAAAACTCTCGCGGCTCTGTGTGTTGATACTAATCGCACCACGATACCTAAACCCCCATCCTGCCGCACTCATATCAGTAATACCACATTTCACACAATCACAGAGCATGGCACTATGTCGTCAAATATTGCCTTTTTTTTCTTTTTTTCTTTCCTTTCCAGAGAGAGCAAACCACAAAACAGAAGGCAGCGTTTGTGAGCCAAACAACAAATCTTTTATTTACACTGAAGCTTGAATCACACTGAAGGAACGACTGGTGCTAAGCTGACGTGTCACACAACATTCCCAACAAGTCAGAGTGTTGCTGTTGACTTTTTACTGAGCGTAGAGAAAGGAAACTGCAGGAGCAAAGAAATGCAATCATAGTTATCATTTAAACATCTCAAGTTGTTCTGATTTTCTTTTACATTTTTATACAAGTGCTGATAATAGGAACTTGTAAAAGGCTCCCGACTAGAAAGGCTGCGGGCGTTTATTATTTGAGAAAACCAGGAAAAGCAGAGCAGAGGAGGGAAGAGTGATGGGAAAGTGGAATTGGAGAATTTCATGTCTGTCAGTCACATTTGAATTCAGACTTTCCTTTGGCCGTTAAAAAAAATCTGCAAATCAATCTGTTCAACAGATTTTTCATACTAGGCGAGTTATTGCAGAGAGTGGGCCAGGAGTGAAAAGTGGGAACACAGCACTTAGTGAAAACACCGGAGCACAACTGAGGGGTTGGGAAGAGGACCGCCACCGAGACTGCATGGCAACAAGGACTCCCGCCGGACAGATGTGAAGAAAGATGATGTCAAACAAAGAGAGGCAGAGAGGAGGAGGGAGAGAGGTGCTCAGTACTTCTTGTAGTCTACGTCGTCCGGTGGGTTCATATCCACTTTTCTCTTGCCCACATCGGTCCAGTTGGTGCTCAGGACTGTTCCCGCCGACTCCATCTGCACAAGGAGGAGGGGTACTGTAGTTATGCAACACCGTCTCTCTACTTAAACAGGCTCAGGGCTGAGATTACTCATCATCGACTCCACAAGTATTAATATAAAGGGGGACTTTTTTACCGGTAACAAATATCTAGCTTTCTGTAAAAGTAGGAAGATAATTAATAAAAAATTAACTCACCTTATATATTCTCTACTGTACTGAGTGTGCCTAGTGAAACCAGGGGTTCTCAACCCTATGCTCTATTCTGATTGCTAAAAAATAAAATAGATACGAAAAAAACATCATGTGAAATAAACTGTGCTGTAAATATGTGTTATGTTAGCTGAAGTGAGGAAAATAAATGTTCAGCTTACCCTCAGCGAGACACTTGGACTTGCTTCTCGGACATAATAATATTAAGTAAAATGTTGTGTCTTCAAGGTCATCTACCACATCACTTTTACGCATAAAAAAACGGATCTACTTTTAGTAAATGCATCTGAGTGGTTGAGAATAGCTGGTTTAAACCAAATGCAATGATGACTGAAGGTCAAACACACCACTTTTAGGTTGTACAGCATAAATCATATCATTTTTGGAGCCAGCCCCAAGGAGCCATTTCAGGTTTCTATTTCTTGTTGCGGTTTCTGGCCCTCCACGATGGCTTCATTTGTCGCTTAAGTTTATGACAATAAATATAGTCTTACTAAATCTTTGGTAGCAAAAGTCGTTGGCTACTATGGCCACTGTCTTTTAGGTCAGTGATCCACAACTTCTGGGTTTGTGGCAACCTTTCAGAGGGTCTGCAAAATAATGTCTTATATATTATAAAAATGTGCTATATGATTAAAAAAAATGGCATTTCCACAAATAAGGATCATTCACGCCAATAAACAAACATATTGTGCCCATTGCTCCCGCTTACGTTAGCTTTGATCTGATCGACACAAGATGCATCAATTACAAAAACTATAGAGTTAGGTTTTTGTGAACAGTGACGGGAGACCAACATTAATTTAAATATGTTTCAGTTTATCAATATGAAAAGTATTTAGATTTAGAAAGACTGTAGAATAAAAAGGGTTTAAATGGCATCTAAGCGAACAAAGAATAAGCTAACCGATCAGGGGTACCTTGAGAAATACAAGAGCTTCCTGGCTTATCGAAGTTTGAGAACCCCTGGTTTAAGTGACTACTCGTAACTGAAGTATAAAGTACTCACGAAGGACTTGTTCATGGCTCGTTTGACCTCGTCTGTTCCATCGCAGTAGATCTGTTGGAAGAGCTTGTTGAGCGCTGCGTCTCCCTCCAGCTTCTCATTCTTCTCCTCCTCGCCGATGTCCACCATTATCTTGTCCCATTGGCGTACGCCTTTGGATGATGATGGGTAGTCATCTGATGGAGAAGGTAAGCAGTGTTAACAATGCAACAGCTTAAAAGTTGAGGATAAAATGCTGATATGTGATTTTATTTTTTAATAATAATAAAAAAGGAGACAAAAAAGATGCTCAACATTACATGTCACTTGTTAGACGCTTTTATCCAAAGCGACTTACATACTCAATACTGTGGAAAATCCCCACAGGAGCAATTTGGGGTGAAGTGTCTCAGGGACACAACGACATGCTGACTGCAGTGGGGTTTGAACCTGTGCTCCCCTGATCCCAACACCAACGCTCTATCCACTGCGCCACACGCCTCCGCAACATCTATCTACCACTGTTATTGTCTGCATTGTCTCCATTTGTTTAAGTCCAGAATGCACTTATTTAGAATTAAAAAAATTATCAACTGAATTAATGTCCACATGTAATCAAAAAACAGTAACTTTAACAAATAATAATGAAATGAATAAAAAACTATTGACACCACTATATAACACTCGTGCTTCTATTGGCTAGAGCTCCAACACGTTGTATGTGAAAGGCTAAGGGGAGGGACATCTCTAAGGGGTTGACCAATCACAACAGAGCCGGCCAGCTAACCAATCAGAGCAGACTGGGCTCTGGTTTCAGACAGAGGGTGAAAAGAGGTGCTGCAGCACAGGCAGTATGAGAAAAATAAAGAGCTTTTTGAACATTAAAGCATGGAGACATGTAAAAAATAGACACAAAATACAAATATGAGGAAAATTGACATAATATGGCCCCTTTAATTATCACCATGGAGAGTGCAATCCTCACGTGAGTGGGTAGATTCTCATCATCTCATCATGGCATTAATCGACCATTGTCTAGCTCTTGTACAATTACATTTGACTTAAGACCAAGAAGGATGGATTTTAAAGCAGCTGAGAGGCATTTGGCTAGACGGAAGGCAGAGCATTTTAATCACACAGAAACAACCAGCCTTTTGCGTTTGTAAAACAGTACAAGTGTTTATAATTGTTTTTCATTAAGACGTTAAATGGAATCCAGTTAAATACCTCCTCTTTATCATCTAATCATGTATTAACTGAATTATTTTTGCTCACTGAATCATCGACTCGGACGCTGAAGGATCGCATTGTGATTTCTTCATTTCCAGGACGGAAATACGCCCACTGTAATCCAGACAAGAGATGGGGAGCGGGAAATGTAATCCAGACGCAGATTTACATAAACACACTGCCAGACGCACAGTAGACACATTCAGGCCAAGGGTGGACATGCGAGCGATGTGATCCCATAAACATCAGATGTCAACGATCGTGTTTTAAAATGTGAGCGTAGTCCGAGTTATAAGCAGGCACTTATAATAACCGGGGCGTTCTGGAGGCTGAGCTGATGCATGGACAGGATGGGTTTCTTTTTTGCTGCCCACTTTAACTTTCGACGCCCACTTCCACACACACTTACATAAGCAATTAATCCTGTCAGTAATGGGAACGTGTGGGCTAAAATACTGAGTCATATTCCGCTGTCATACCTTTCGCTCTCTCTGTATACTTTGGCCGTCAGACTAATGAAGGACTAGCTCGCCTGCCCACTCTCATTTCAGACAAACACAGGAGCTTATATTGATCTTTGCAGAGAAAGAGCGAAAACAGGGAGAGATAAGAAAAGAGGGTGAGGGAGACGAGGGAGAGATGAGAGCGGACACAGGAGGATCGTTGTGGGGGAAGAGTGTATAATGCCGACGCTGTGGACTGACTTGGATTGAAGTGTTTGATGTTGGACTCCTGTCCTTCTCCCTCCAGGTTCTCCCATCTAATGGCATCGGCTTTCTTCATCTTGAACTCCACCTGACAGAAGAGAAGGATGATGAGGAGTGGGGGGGGGGAGAGAGAAGAAGAGGGGACAAGGGAAATAATGTTTAGAGACAAATAATCTTCTTTGTGACCAAAATAACACTTAAAAAAAAAGTACAGGACAGATCATTATGGAGGCCAGAGAGGCTGTCTGTCTGTTTTTTGAGCCAACTCGTGTGCGTGTGCGTGTGCGTGAGAGACATCAGGGATATGCGGGGGCACA